TATTTAATAGTTCTCTTTTTTTGGGTGTAACTTTTTTATATTCAAATTTATATTATAATTTAGTTTAGATTTAATAACAAAGTAATTTGTTTTTTATTTAATAGTATAATTTTTTATAAAAATAATAATTAAGAATTTTGTTAGAACTCAATCATTATCCTAATTATATTTTAAAATTTTGATACTTAAAATAAGATAATTATCCGGAATTTGATTGTGTTTATCTGCAGATAATTATACGAATTCAAAAATGGAGCTTTAATAAGTTGTACTTACGCACAATTTACTTGTAATCTTAAATTTTAAGTAATATGCATTAATAAACAGTATTTCATGCATAAAAAATAGTTTTTAAAAGTTTTTGTCAAATAATTTATAATATAGTATAGATAAAGATAATAATAACACAAGTTTAGACAAAAGTTACTTAAAACATTCTACATTATTTAATACTAATTTTATGAATTTGTATTTTAATTTTACTATAATAAATCGAACTTGTTTTAAAATATTTTAATATTTGTTTAATAAAAAAATATTAAGAAAGTTGCTTGTTAATTCACAAGCAATTTGGAAACACTGAGAATGAAAAAGCTAGATTTAGCAAGAAATTACGCAGGCTTTGTTTGTTCGTTGCTTAATTGTTTTATTAAAAGTAAACCTCAATGCCTAAAATGTAACTTTTTTGCCACACACTTAACTAAGGCAAAATGTTTTACTGTTGACCGCACATGTAATACACGTTTTTTTTTATAAATCTGGATATCCGACCCGCTATGCGAGCCGACTAATCTCAGGACAACTACCTGCTTTACAGATAGTCCGGAGTCACCGCATTTGAACCTCCGTAGCCATAAGGGGATTTTTATTCCTCCTTGGATTTGAACCTGGGACCTCCAGTACTTTTGACATTTAGAGTCAAGCTCAAACCAATCAGACACCACCCTTATGGTTATGTAATACACGTTTGGACTCTCCTAACAGTGTCTTTAACACCATTAGTTGTTTGCAATGAACCACCACTTTGAATGCGTTAATATTATTAATACAACGTGATTTTATATATGATTAAGAAATTGTATTGGGGATTGTGTTAGAGATTTTGATTCTCTTTGTAAACATCAAAAGCACAATTTAAAGACAAATTCATATATATAAAAACTAGTGTTCAACCGTGCGTTGCGCGGTAATCATAATATCATCTTCAAAATGAATGTTATATATTAAAATTTGAAGTCCACTACTAAAAAAATTAGACAAATGTATGTGACAACTGCTCATTAACATGAAAAGTTTTTAAGAGAAGTTGACAACAATTTTAGAACTATATGCTAATTTAAGTTATCTAACTATGCTCGAAAATGGTGTTACAAAGTATTCTACAAACGTTTGACTAATATTAATAGTTTGTTCAACTGGAAGTCACAGTTCTAACTGAAATCTCATATAAGGTGACAAAATCACAATGTTAATTTTATAATAAATTTAATTGAAATCTCATTTGAAGTTTGAAATATAAACGTTTTATAATATTTCAAGTGAAAATTAAAGGAGTGCATAAGTTGTAGCAACAGTTATAGATTTCAAATAGGGTCATCCAAAGAAAGACAGCCCTATGAGGCAAACCTCATTATTTGACACAAATGCATATAATCCATATTTCTTATACACTTTATTTTGTTCAAATCTTTAAACTATTCACCAATGTGAAATATCTCAAACTCAACCACAATTCACCAACACCTCAATATTCAATTTTTATGATGTCACCTTAATACTCTTGATTCTAATATATATATATATATATATATATATATATATATAGAGGAGCGTTCAAATAAAAACCTGCCCCATTTGTGTAAACCGTATAAACCAATCTCATCCATCCATTTTCTTGATCAATGGCCAAGATTAATTTACTTTATTTTAGGAAATTAAAATATATATATATATATATTAAAATTTTATTTTATTTCATCAGTAAGGGCAAAAATGATAAACAAAATTTAACATTTGGTACCATCCTTCTAGATATTAACAACACTATTTTCATTTTTTAAAGCAATATATTATTTTTAACTTTAAATCACATCAATCAATAAAACATATAAAAAAAATGAATATAACACATCATATTCAATTATATGGAATGAATCGTTTTAAATTTTGAATTACATTATATGAACGAAATTGGTTTCACCATGAAAATGTTTCGGTTCACATAATTTATTTGCAATAAGACCCGATTTCACGTTCATGAAACCTGTTTCATTTTCCTTTTCATAATTTATTTTCAAAATGCACCGGTTTCATTTTCCTTTTCATCAACAAAATGGATCAACTACACCATCAATGCAACGGTTTCACCATAAAAATGTTTTGGTTCACCTAATTTATTTGCAACATGAACCGGTTTCACGTTCATGAAACCTGTTTGATTTTCCTTTTCATAATTTTTTTCAAAATGCACCGGTTTCATTTTGTTTCTCATAAAAAAAAGATTAACTACACCATCAATGCAACGGCTTCACCATAAAAATGTTTCGGTTCACCTAATTTCTTTGCAACATGAACCGGTTTCACGTTCATGAAACCTGTTTCATTTTGTGGATTTTTTTTTGTTCATCTACGTTTTGATGATTTCATTCTATAATTCACTTGTTTCATCAAGACACATTTCCTGATT